ATTTATACAAGAAGAAGCATAAAACAAAAATTATATAATAAAAAAAATACCTTTTCATTACATCAATGTTGCCATGCAACTCTCCATACCTTATCTACCAAAGCTGTGGATAGCACTATTTAATCTTCTAAAATTGTAAGTTGCATAATGTACGATAAAATATTGCAATATTAGTGGCACTCTGGTGTATTTGTTTTTGTTTAATTTGTTATTAATTATTTATTTGTATATTAATTGTTATTTTTCTTAGTAATAGTCATTGTGTATCATACTTATTTTCAAAATAACATATAATTTTTGTAATTTTATATTTGTAATTTATGTTCCATGTTCATGTGAAAGAAATAATTTGAAAGTGTTCTCTCTAGATTTCTAGCATTCTGTTCTCCATTGTTTGTCTGAGGAGGACGGTTATATACTGTCTAAAGTACTTGTGATTTAAACATTTGTTTCTGTAACACTGATAGACAGTTCTTACCTTTTATTAACAACTAAATTTTGATTATCTCTGAATATTTTATATTAGATTTAGTGTTACATTCAAATTCTTAAAATAGTTAAAGAATTTGCTATTTATGGTTAGAAATATGTTAGGATGACAGCTAAAGTATACTTTCCAAACAAGTCCTCTGTACTTTTTACAAACTTTTGATTTATTGTTGTTTTTCTGTTTAATATATAATATATTGAATTATTTTTCACTTCATAATAATTTTAGTAACTTATAAAATTTTAATAAGTAATCCAATTTTACCATCCATTTGTGATATTGAAGTACCACCATGTCAGTCTCTCTCTCTTTAACTAAATATTTAACTTGTTTCTTTACATGCCATCACATTCAAATTTTATCAGATACCTCATTTCAAATTACAGTAATCTCTTGAACAAATAACACTGTTTGAATTTGATCATGCTCTTTCAAGTTTTCTGCTGTTTTAAAGCATTTTTACAAAACCATGAACACTTTTCTCACTCATTGAAAGTGAAAAATAATGAAATAGGAAGTTCTCTTGTAAAGTTTGGTTTTATTGCAAATCCACTCCCAGAGGCCAAACTCTACCTCAAGATCCATGAGAGAGGGCAGATCTGATCTCTGTAGCCAAAAAAAAAATTTTTTTTTTTGAAAGAAAAAATCTATTTACACAGTGAGTAATCAACAGCAGTATAAGTCAAGGGATTATTTAATAAAATTAATAATAATGATAACCTATTTTTGGAATTTAGATGTATATAAAACACAATGGTTAGTAATAAATACATATACGCTGGTGGACAAAACCTAAGGATGAATGCTATTTTCAACAAGTAAAATGGCAAAACCATATTCGAGACAAGACTATGTCTCGGAGACTCACTACTAAGCAGAATCACTTTGATGTCAAGGTGGGTCTTGTTTTCATTCTCCAATATTCTTTGGTATCGCTGCTTTGGGCGCGAACATTCAAACTTCACCGGCCATGACCATGACATTGCTCACAATGTATTTTCGATGAAATTAACCTATCCAATTTTGAAATTTCTCTCCATTGCGTGTTGGCCCAGGTTGAATTTTTGTTGATGTGTAACGAAAATTTCCCATTTTTGAAAAAAATAATCGTGGCTATTGTATCGTCTGAAATTATTTTTTTATTTTGCCCAAACAATATACAGTTTAACCCATTATAAAGTCATCAGATGTAACAACAATCCTAATATAAAGTCAAATTTTTATTGGTCTCACAATTTTACTATACTAGATAATGTTAAAAAACCCCACTTGTAACGACGTAAAACCGTTTTAACGTCATATTTGAAGCACTCCCAAATTTATAAAATCAGATTACAAATTTTATTTAACATAAAAGAAACTACTTGTGCAGTCCTAAAGTCAGAGTTCACTTCTTAGAATGACTATGTATGGTACTCTCCCCCACCTGACTTCAGTGGGGTGAGGTGCCTGTTTTGCCTGTTTGTAGAAGAGGGTCGCCATTTTGTATTTTATTTTGACTCGATTCTCGGTACCCTGACTACCTACAAGTCTAGATTTTTTTTATGCACAAATGATTTGGGCACCTAATACACTGTGCCAAATATCAACTCTCAACATGTACTCCTTCATACCTCTATGCTGGTAACATAAAATGGCAGTACGATTTTATAAACAAGACATAGTCTTGTCAACAATTACAGTTAGAAATTGAACCACAGCAGCCTGTTGATATATGCTTGAAATTGTGATGTACTTTGTTATGTAAAACTTATGCAAATGTTTAAGTGCCGCACATGTTGGTCATGTGACATTACAGATAAAAGATTTCAGGCAATCTGCATGTGCAGTCAGTTTTCATTGGATGTGAAATTTGAACGGGAAGGAGTGAAGTTACAATAATAAAATTATGAACATGTCTTCCAGGCATCATTTTTTCTCATTTTACTCATGCTAGAATAATCGAAAAGCTGGAAGGGAGGGGAGGATCAGTATATTGTTCTTTCAGCAAAAAGGAATCGATGCAGCACAGCTGGTGAATCGGCAAGTCATTTACAGGCAACCACAGGAACTAAGATATCCCGTAAAAATGTTGCAAGATGTTTGCGAAAGAAAGGACTATATGTCCGAAGACCTCTTGAGAGTTCACCAAAGCACCCATTTGCATTGCAGTTGGACTAATGATGACTTGACTACCATGCTCTTCTCAGATGAGAGTAGATTCAGTCTATCATCTGATTCTAGATGGCAGCTGATATGGCGGGAGGTTAGCAGTGCTTATCATCCCAAAAATATTCAGGAAAGGAAACAATATCTGACTTGCAGTATCATGGTGTGGGCAGGCATCATGGTCAATGGCCGTATGGATGTGGTTGGCCGAGGGACCATGACTGGCCAACAATACATTGAAGAACTTCTCAGTTTTTCTGAGGTGCTGTTGGTGAAAAGTTTCATTTTATGGATGATAACGTGCCTTGTCATTGCACTCAAGTTGTAGACAGCGAGGATATTCATTGCATAGTCTGGCCAGCACATTCTCCTGACCCGAATCCAATTGAAAATGTATGGGATGCCTTGGAGAGACATTGCTGGTCAACAATATCCACTGATTAACAAGGAGACCCTCATCTGTGCAATGAAAGAGGAATGGGACAGCTTGCCTCAACAGCTCCTGGATCATGTTGTTCTGAGTATGCCACATCGTTTACAAAGTTGCGTAGCACTTCATGGTGGCCATATCCCTTACTGACATGATATTTAGGATTGTTTGTAGTAAATATTGTGCATTTTTTGTACAACCATGTCTTCAGACAATATGCACCTTTTACAAAAACACCCTCTTTTGACATACTGTATATTCCTTTGAACATAATTATTATATTAAATCATGTTGAACATGCTGTCAATACTATTGTTTTCTTCTTGGTCTTTAAAACCATATGTAGTTTTTCATGCCCAAACTTTTTACAACTGTCACCTACCTCATTTACATATTTATCATACAGTTAGAATTTATGTATTTCCTGCTGGGAGCAACTCTAGTTCTGATATTTCTGTAATACTTATTTCATCAATAAATAAAATAGATTTATGTTACATTTCTGTCTCAGCTCAAAGTTGTTATCTTTGTTTCTGGAAGTTGATGTCACATGGCTTATGGTATCCAGAGACAAATGGCAAAATTCCTGTAAGGCTGGTGGCATCTGAGAAATGGCAAATTTCAGGTTTTAACATAAATTCCTTCCAAAAAAATTGAAGTTCTTTGCATCAAGATAATTTTGCAAACTCTGAAATAAATGGTAATCTGAAGGTTTGGGAAAATGGAGATGTATCATTTTTTTTCCAGCCAATTTCCTCCAATATTTTAGAGGTGATAATGTCTGTCCATGCACAGCTCTTATCTTGGCTAGTGCTGGATGCTTTTCTCACAAGGCTTTCACCAAACAGTCAAATTGTTGACAGTAACCTTCAACTGTGGTGATTTCATTTCTTTCCAGTAGCTCAGAATGTATCACACCTTTTATTCCAGTAAACACTGAGCAATGTATTCATTGGATGAAGACTAGCTTTTGACTGATGTACTGCTTTATCTCCAAGACTGAGCTACTGATGAGAATGTTTAATATTCTTATATTTTATCCATTTTACTTTTCCAGCTCTATTAAATATAACAGAGGGCAATCAGTCAAATATTACTCCCCTTAAGATTCTTACATTTTTGGACTCAGGACCTAGAAACGTCAAGAAATGTGAAAAAAATTTGGGGTTTTATTTTTATGTATGTATGTATGTATGCATATTTGTTTGCGTGTGTGGGGGGCACAATTTTTGTTCACCCTCTTTGAAGCTTATTAACTCCTGTGTTTTTTGTCAAAAATTTCTGAAATTTTGAAAGGAGATTTTTGTACTAGGGGGATTTATGCTATTAAATTTTTGTGGTTAAAGGTTGATGGGATGGGGAGATAAAGGGGGATTGTGTGTCATATCACGAGTAGGGTCAGACTTAATGATGATTTACTTGTTTTAGCATTTAAATTTTTTATAAAACCCATTCTTATCCTCAGAATTAAGCTTTGTGCCATTTCATATGATATTTTATTACAAAATTTTTAATAACAGATTATGCAGTTTTAAATGTTACCAGAAAGTTAATCAACTCATTGCTGGATTTTTCATCTACAATAATGATTTGATACAAAAACAGAGCTCAGAGATAAGGAGAGTACAATGAAATGCACATGTGATAATAAAGTTGTTCTGGTGATAGATCATGCAACACTCATTTTTCCAACTTCTGCCCTTTTCTCAGCTGTTTCAAATGTTGATGGATGGTCATATAACTTGATCCTATTCTTGTAATGTTGTGGAGGGTTTATTTTCCATCAGTGTTTTCAGGGCCTTTATATCAAAATCAGAGGGCTGCATGGTATGCTTGTTATCTTTCAAACTGATGTCACCATTTTCAAAACTTCGCAAACCATCTCAACACATCTGTTCACTCAAAATAGCATTTCTATAGACACTTTGAATAATTCTAGCTTATTCACTTGAATATGTTTGTCACTTCTATCTTTGATATAGCAAAAAACAAAATTGGAACAATGTACACATTTCAGAATTTGCAAATATTGTTCATTCCACTATGAATAAAACAATATATCACATTATGCACTAATCATGCAAGACTTTTTGTAAAATGTGTTCAAACTTGTTGCTGTTCATGTAACAGACAGAATTTGTTACAATCTGATTACCTCCTTGTCCATTGAAAACTCTCCAAATGCATTATAGCTGGACAGTGTCCCAGATGAGTCTCCACTTCTTTTTGACTAAACGACTCCTTGGCTAATGATTTCGTTGGTTAAGGGTGAGTATAATTCATGAAGAGATGTCTGAGGAAAAACTTCAATGATTATCTATGCATTTTCATCCCTTGCTGCTTCACTATTTTGCAGGGGCATCATCCAAACAGGCAGTTGCAATCTGGACCATCAGGTACTGGATACTTGGTACAAACGGGATTCCAGGATCCTGGTTGTTTTTTTAACCCGGGAAATCCCGCAAATTTCTTAAAAATTCACTTTTTTTCTTATTTTGTGTTAAGGTTAAGAAATTTTGCAAATAGAAAGTATAATTATCTCATTTACTGTCAGAATACATTTGTAATTTATTAATTTTAAACCTACCTATTAGTTTTTTTAAAATTTTTGCTCTTTACGGCATGTCACAAATGGTCGATAATCAATACATAGCTTATTTGTGGCAGGACTCTGAAAATTCTTTACTTGTCAGAACCTGTAATATATGGAATAATTGTGCTTACGCTGTCTTAATTTTTAACCATGCCCAGTAGCTTCAATAAATGCGTAACGCCAGATTGTGCAAATTGGACAAAGATACAAATGAGTATAAAGTCTGCAAATATGAAGTTTTTCTTCATAAACTTGATTATTAAAGCCAAACGAATTGCCAAATTATTGAGCTTGATGCCGCTATTAAAGCAGCCGAGGTAGACAAATCAAAAATACTAGAGAGCAAAAGAAAGTACTACAATCTTGAAAACAAACTCGAAATCTTCCAGGCTACAGGTGAAAAGCACATAATATCTGTCTTCTCTTAAATGCATTAAACACAATTCCAATCACATCAATTGAATCGGAAAGGGTAGCAAGACTTTTCATTACGAAAATAAGAATTAGAGTGAGTGATCGGAGTATTGATCATCTTTGCTTTTTAAAATCTTATAAAAGTTTACAATATTTTGTATTATATTTTATTTAAAAAACGAAAATTACCTTTAAGTTATAAGTTTGATCTAAGTTCAATTTTTAATTTTTAACTCAATTCAAAGCATTTTTGTTGTTGTATGCAGTTTCTAACAAACTTTAATAAATTTTTTTCTATTTGTGAAAATTTCTACGTAATTCAAAGGTAATTTTTATTATATATCTTACACAGCATTATTAATATGATTTTGGATGATACAGAACTTTAAAATTACTTTAAAAAATGAAAAATAATTATATCATTTAATTTCAAGATATTTTGTATACCTTAAAAATAATTAATTCTGTCCCGGGAAACAGTTCACTTTTATTTCAGAATCCCAGGACAAGCAAAAGATCGGTAAATGAGAAACCCTACTTGGTACCAGTATCCAGTACCTGAGTTGAAATGTTCCTCCAGGTCCTGTATAAACGATGTAACATTAAAATCAGACCCACCATTGAAACATATTGTTGGTAATGTATAGATAGTCCTGCACAAGGTGCTGGCTTGACACTGGCAGTGGAGATGGCACAGATTGAAAACTTGAGGCTGTGACTAGTATAGTTGCTAGGGGACTGTTGGGCACTTGTACTGAAGTAGCTCTCCACAATCACAAATTTCACTGGACTTGAGATCTGTCAAACTGACTTATGGTGGCACTCTGAGGATCATGTGCTATTTACTGCTGCAACTACACAAATTAGATGTCTGGATGGCTGAACAGTTAATGACAGTAGAACAGTATTCCTAATATAATACTCAATATGAAACTTTCCTATCTATTTTTTGGCTCTTTGAAAATAATAATCATAAAATAAAATTTACAAAAAAAATATTATTTTTTCTGGTGAGGAAATATTTATCTTGTCAATCAACCAATAAAACCAGCTTGGAAACAACACTTGTGTTGTAAATATGATAGTAAAATCATGATATTTGATATCATGTAAAAAGACAGATTGAATAGAGAACATATGCAATATGCTTTACTCTTCTCAGCTGAACTTTTTGTAAATTTTAAAGTAGGATCTTACAAATTATCAAACTGATTTGAGAAGTTAATCACTATTTGAGTTCAAATCAAAAATTAGGTGATGTCTAATATAGCTGTTCATAGTTATATCTAATTTTATGCTTGCTTAAACAGCATTTATTCTCTATTGTTTACATGAACATGTGTAGGTGTGCTTGTTTTCTTTCAAAAGTTTTGATCTTATTAAAACTGATTGCTTTCATATGATTTTTTCTTATTTTATTATGAATACAACAACTATTACAATAACTTCATTAAAATTGAAATTTGACTGGAATTAATACATCACAAAGTTTTGTAGGACCTTATTTTAAATTTTACATAAAGTACAAGTGTCATTTTATTTATTTTATACTTGATTTCTATATAAAATCTGTATTTATAAGTAAAAAAATAACAATTTTTATTTTATTTTAAAAATTTATATGACCAAATATTCCTACAGGCTGCCTGCTCTTTCTTTGCTTTTCAACGTTATCGACAGGGTGCCGATTCAGCCTTTGCCCCGTCATATGAAGCAGAGCCACATGAAGTTCCTGGTGGCGTACCTTATACAACTTATCCAGAAGGACCAGAAATGAATGAGGCATATCACGAACCCCCATTCTCTGGTGGTCAGATAGAAAAAATGCAGACAGGTGCTCCTAATTTCCAACAACCCGCTTATTAAATGTAGGAGACACCTAAGTTAATGTAGGTGGCTACAGATAGCAAATGATATCTTTTATGTAACAGTTAATATATGGAGTGAAGTTATTTGTGGTATATGTGATGATTTTCAGAAGTTGAAGTTTACACTTGTGCTCGAAATTATATTCTGGAATGAAATCAATTTTTCGGGTAAAAGAATAAATGCGTTTTTCTGTTAAAGCAAACAGTATGCCCATTATCAAAGATATTAGCTATAAATTTCGTAACTGAATTGTTTATGCATTACAAAAGAGATTGGATTTCTATGTCATTTAAAAAATGCATTTTACTAAATATCAAAAGAGAAAATTACGTAACATATATTGTAAATTAGGGGATTAAGTATTGCAAATAGGCAAGATTTATTAGGTCATTAATAGGTAATGCTTTTTGTGTGACGATTATTGCCATGCTGGAATATGGACTAAAATGTCGATTCTCATTGTAAATACATCCATTACACGTTACATGTCAGCAAATATTAATCCTAATATCTTTTCACTTGTGAATATCTGCAATTAAAAATTGTTAAGGAGAAAATATATTGTATATTAGAATGATCAAATGTTTAAGAGTTTGTACGCATTTATTTCCCCATTGCGGTTGAAGTCAAAGATCGAAAATTATATATTGAGAAACGATTATTTTTATTATAGATATTGTTAAGTTAAAAATTTTTTTATAAAAGGTTAGTGAAATGTTTACTTCATTGTAGAATTAAATTTTTTTTTCCTCCTGTGTCGTGTGATAATTTGTTAAAAATCTGAAATAAATGTTTAGATATAGTTTGTTTTATCAAATGCACATTTAATCAGTATTATAGTTTTTATTTGGTATTATTTCATAGTCACTAGAACTGTGAATTTATAAAAATTTATCTCATAATGACTTCTATTTTTTGCATTTATTTATTTATTTTTATTTATGTTTAGAACTAGTTCTTTTGTGAATTTGTTTAATAGTTGATATTTACATTTTATTTAGTTAAATTATTAATTAAAATTATTTTTTTCAAAACTTTTTTACTTTAAAAATTCTAGTTATTGCTTTTCAAATTGTGAGTTTTGTTTGATACGGGTGAAAACTAAATGGTTCTTATTGTCAAATACGCAATATTATATTGTGTACTTGAGTGTTATGTCTTATTCAAGTGTAGAAACTATAATGGATTTTTCAACGTTTTGGCCAATTGTATTTCACAATTTTCTATATATGTATTTATTATCAGCTTTTAACATTTAAAAATTATAGGAAGATTAACTGATCTTTATTTTCTTTCATTACTTTACAGTTACTTTAGAAATATTTTTTTTTCATTAATCATCATTGACATTAAGAATATAGCATGTGACAGTCATCTTCCCAAGGCATCATGCTTGATTCTTGTGAGTTCGAAATATTATTTCTGGTTAGTTCTTAAATTATTCTGAGAGCAATAAGTTTCCCTTGTTACCAGTGAACCCGTTTTACAATTTATCAAGGAATGCTATAGTTGTTCTGACTAGACTTTGCTGAGTTCAGTGTAGAATCAGCATGTTTCATTGAAGTCCAAAATTATGTTAAAATTATCAGATTGTACAAATGATCTAGATATGTTGTAACCAGTTGAAAATGTTCTCTCTTTATTCACATAGTGATGTACAAAGTATAGTAGGTAAATTTGTAGTTGATGTTGAAAATCACATCTGACACAGTCAATAACAAAAAGAAAAATGAGTGGTTGCCGGAAAGTTTAATCATTGTAAGATTTTGAAGCCTCATATATGTATAGATTTGGAGGCCACATTTCTTTAGTCATGTATTGTACTTAATCTTCTGTGATGTATGAATACTAGTCAGAAATAAATGTGATCTATATAGTAAAAGTTGTGATCTATATTTTGTTCTTTGTAAATAAACAAGATATTTAAGTTAATACAGTGATACCTCGACTTACGCGAACTCGGAGTTACGCGATTTTCAAATCTCGTCGATTCGTCTTTTGTTTGAACACCACGCAACTCTCGATTACTCACTCCCCCCCACACTATTGTTCAGCTTACATGTTCGGACGTGTCGCGCGGAATCGACACATAGCTACAATTTATTTCTGTGTTTGTTATATCTACGGAGACTTGAGAGACTCTATATGGTGATTTCTTGTAACCATGAACGAATCAAATGACGAGAAAAGATTAACGAGAACATTTATTAGCTTACATACATCCGACTTGGATTTTACACAAATTGCGAAATTATACCCCGACTTACGCGGTTATTGCTTGGTCCCACCTATCGCGTAAGTTCGGGGTATTACTGTATGGCAGAAGTGAATTTTATATTTTTCATTTTAAAAACTTTCAAATTAAAAAAACTTCTGTTAAAACTATTCATAAATTCTTACCGTCCGAACCCGAGATAACTCGGGCAAGTTACATAGCGTTACAAAACAAACAGTCGTTTGGACACCAAAAACATTTTTTGGATGATTTTTAAGTCTCCAAATGTTTTTTCTCGCGCGAAAAAATTTTATCGCGATTTTAATCTACCTTTAATGATGCGCGATTAACGCTTAATTGTTTTTTAATGTGAATTTTTTAAATCAAAATCATGGATTTTATTTCGGTAAAGTTATTTAAAGCTAGTTTCTTATGTCAAAAACGACCTCTAATAGTTTTTTAATTTTTTTAATTAATAGATTTTATTATATATACGTTTAAGTTGGGGGTCGAAAATCGCAATAAGAAACGTAATTTTTTAAAAATACAGTGGAACCTCGGTATACGACCTTAATCCGTTCCTGGTGTTTGGACTTATACCAAATAGGACGTATACCAAACCAATCTTTTCCATAAGAAGTAATGTAAAAATGATTAATCCGTTCTCATGTAAAAAAAATGGCTGGCTTTTAACACCTCGCTTTCCTCGCTAGTTCCTGCTTGATTTTTCATGAAATCAGCATGTATCCCTTTAGCTTTCTCGCAAATAATTTCTTCCGATACGCTGTCGCCAGCGCACTGTTTTTCAGTTATCCAAAGCAAAACCAATTTCTCGACACGATCTAATGTCTTCGATCTCTGTTTAGAAATTGATTTTAACCCCTTTCGCAACGTTAGCAAATTTAATAATGTCTTTATTTTTCACGATTGTCGATATCGTCGTTCTCGGAATACGGAATGCAACAATTAAATCTCGAACACGCGTGCCACCTTCATATTTCTCAACAATCTCTTTTTTCAGTTCCATTGTCATTTTTTTATTTTTCTGTTGCCTTTTTGCAATTCGTGATTAATAAAAATAATGAAATGAATGAACTTACAAATTAAAATCAGAAGAAATTTAAGAAAGTTATAAACTGTAGCACCGCGACCGTCTAGTCTAGTGTAGTACACCGATAGTGCTACTTGTTCATAGATGGCGCATATAATTGAATTAAGTCGTATACCAAACAAAAGTCGTATACCGAGCAAAATTTGTTTCGTCCAAACAGGACGTATTCCGAATTGGACGTATTCTAAAGCAGACGTATACCGAGGTACCACTGTATTTTAAAATATACGGCCAGCTAGTATTCACCCTACTTTAAACCCTTCGCCTCCCGAGATGTCTATGAGAATGTCCCGGGAAATCCAACACCAGCTGTTCTCAAGGTCATCCAGCTGTAAACACAATGTCTCATCAGTGTCAAATTTCACAGAAAGGCGATTAACTTCCTTTGTCACAAGTTAAACTTTGAAGCTTTTTCTTCAAAATTAACGCATTTCTTTCGTTTTTTTCAGTTTTAAGTATTTTTTATGTTTAATTAAAATTTCCTAAAAAACAGTTCGAGGAACAAGTGGTTAATTTATAATCTGGCTTAATTTCATTAATAGCATGTCTTTCTTCACTAAAATCCCCAAAACATCAAATTTACCATCATTCAGTACATTTTTTTAAAATTTAAATCATACCTTATTGTTACTTTACACAAATCTTAGAACAATATTTAAAATTTTGGGAGCTTCTTCCTCTTGGAAACAGTGTTATCTGAATCCATGCTCTATAAATGAGGAATAGGCAATACAAAAACTTCAAAACTAAAATGTCTTAACAAATATAATACACTGCTGGCCATTATAAATGCTACCCCAGGAAGGAAAGCAAATAGCAGAATCATATGTATTGTACACATACAGTATAATGTGAGGAAGACATGATTAAATTGACAGGTAATTTGAGGTACAGAGCATGCAGAAATCAGTACCCAGAGCAGCTGCCTCTAGTAGCAATAACTGTAATTCAGCTGGGTATCAGGTCTTAGAGTTTGGATGGTAGGTACAACATTCCATGCAGCTTCAACTCTATGGCAGAGTTTATCTGTTGTACTGGATGGCATACCAGTTTCTCAGCAATCATCGACCAGACTCTCAATTCTCAATTGATGACAGATCTGGAGAAGGTGCGGGCCAGGGCAACAGTCAAACACCATCTGTATTCAGGAAAGTCAGGACAGCATGGGCAACGTGCAGTTGTATATGGTCCTGTTTTAAAGGTAGTGTGATGGAGGCCTCAAAGATAGGACACAGCAACGGGCCTTAACATATCAGAAATGTAATGGCAGCTGCCAAATTATTTGGCTATGCAAACAAGAGGTGACTGGGATGTGTACTCAAAAGCACCCCATCACTCCAGGTGCTGGGCTACATGACTGACAAATGCAAACTGGTAATGATTGTTTCCCTCGGTGTCTCCACACACAGTAATGGCCATCATGATGATGTATGTAGAACTTTATCTGAAAAGATGACGTGATGCCACTGCTGTGTTCATATTGAATGCACCATTGCTTGTCTCTGTTGCAGTGTCAAGAGAAGCCATAGCAACAATTGCTATGCTGCTAATTTGTTGTGCTACAGACGTTGCCACACTGTGCAGACACACTTGTTCTGAAAATGACCCAAGTTCCTGACTCGGTATGTGACATGGCTGTAAGATCCTACAAGGCCATGTGGACAAGATGTCTGTCCTCTCAGGCATTAATGACCAGGGCCACTTAGATCCTGCATACATTCTGTATGGCCCTCCTGGACCTATTCATTCCATATTCTTGTGACAGTCATGGGATCATGACCAACACAAGCAGCAATAGCATGGAACAATAAACTGCAGTTCCAGTAGGTGTTTTCTTCTTTCTACATGAGAAATAACAAAACCTTTACACAACAACCGACATGCAAATGCAATTTCCACAAGAGAAACCAAGAAACCACCTTTATGATCTTCCTCTTTCTACAGACTGTAGGTGGTCTCTCAGTTACTTTAGAAATATTTCTGGTTAGCAAATAGATGAGATCTTATAAGTTAGTCAAAAAGAAATATCTTTATTTTGTTTTGACTTAGATCTCTATTTGCTAATTGGAAACTACACCAGTATAATAAGTCCTATTTAATTTAATAAACAAGTTCCAAGTAGACAAGGATACACACAGAAATTGATATAATAAAAATGTTTTATCATTCAAAAACAAACTTGTTGCATAAAAATTATTTAATGAAGAAAATTGAGTTTCATTTCAAGCATGTTTTATTCACACTCATTGCCATAAAAATTAGCACACCAAGGAGGAGTTAGAATCAAATTAAATTGTACATGTGTGAGTAATGGTTATATAAGTAAGTGATTACGAAATGAAAACAAAAGGATCATTTATTGCAGGAGAAACTACAAATAAGAGGAGGTTCTAGTACCCTGTTTGGCCACCTGTAGAGTGAATATACGACCGGTTTCGTTATGATGTGATTCTATTATTTCTCAATTTATAGATGATAAAACTATAAATACAATTAATCCTTAAATACAGTAAAGAATTCCGTAAAGAATCAAACGGTGTAAAGAAAATCTATTTCTCTGCTTATATAATACTGTACATATATTCGTGTGATCAACCGTACCACTGGACTACTAATCATATGGCTAGTAACCAGACATGAGGAATTTTAATATTACTTTCAAGTCTCAACGGAATAGAAACCGGATGGATAAAATGGATGATGATATAAGGCAAAGAACAAGGAATAATCACAATTGGAAAAAAGATAACACTATTAGGTATGTTACTTGGAATGTTAAAGGCATTAATGGGAAAGAGGAAGAATTAGACTATTCCAGAATGGAAAAATTCACATAGCTGCCACGTCAGGAACTAAAAATTATACACTTATTTATAGTGGAGTGAATAAGAAAACTCATGCCCAAGCAGGTATAATGATTTGGGTACATAAATCTCTTAAGGAAAATATCCTTCATTACACATACTGTGAAGAGAGAATCATAGAAATCTGCTTAAAAATTAACAGAGGTAATTTAACCATTATTTGTACATATGCTCCTGAAGAAAGCCGAGAAGAAAACAGACTTCTATATAAAGTTAACAAGAACGATTACACCATAATAGCAGGAGATCTGAATGCAAGAGTGGGAAACACTCCAGTAAATAAAAATATTGGAACCTTTGGAGAGAATATTCGAAGCAGAAATGGTATTAGACTCATTGATTTTGTTTATAATAATCTTAAAATAATGAATACGTTTTATTATCTATATCTATACTACTATATAAAGAGACAACGTATTTTTCGTTTGTAACCACTAACAGTGAAAACTACTGAACCAATCGTTACCAAACTTTAACTGTAGCATCTTTATGATCCCTGGAATGTTTACCATTAATCAAACCTACAGATGTTTTATTAATTAAATAAAACTGCAACGGATTTTTGTCTGTCTATTTCTCTCTCTCTCTTCACTAGATGGCGACACACGCTGTCTATAAGAAAAGTCTATTATTGAAGTTTACTATTATATTTGAAGAACTGACATTAAATTATAATTAGTTAATTAGGAAAA